GTATAGGAAGAGAAATAACCCCTCGCAGACGAGCAGCAATCATTACTATGCGAGAACTCGGCTATGAGTTTAAGGAAATAAAGACGCGTACCGGTGTTGCAATTTCAACTGCGAGTGATATTCACCGTCACGCGATGAAAAATGCGATCGCGAAACCAGAGGCAGCTACACCTAGTGCTCCAGGTGGGGCTGGACTGGAAGAGGTTTGGGAATCCAATGGTTTTAGCCTGGTTGGGGAGGGGGAAGGATTATTGGCGAGCGAAATGGATGGAGTAGGATGGAGGAGAGAAATGCGAAGCAGAGATAGGGATAATATATCACTTTGTGAGCTGCTCTTGAAGGATTGCTTGGATAAGAATCCCTGCTCCGGCCGTCCGAAGGCTTTCTCCAATGCGGAAGTCGACCACCTCGTGTCCACAGTAAGGCGCGACTTCAGTACTCAGCGAATGTGTCTTGTTGATATTCGGAGAGAAGCTGAGCTTTCCCACGTTAGCGATTCCACAATTTGGAAGGCTCTGTGGTCTCGTGGGATTAGGGCATATAAAGAGCTGTTTAAATTTATTCTTAAGACTGAGAATAAAGTTGTACGGCTTAATTACTGTATGGAGAGAAAGGACTGGGGGATGGAGGAATGGAGGAATTATGGGTTCACAGATGAGATGTCAATTGAGGTGGGGGGACTCTTTGGGTTGAATCTTGTCTGGTGAGATAAAACAGAAAAGTGGCACGATGACTGTGTGGGATGCAAGAAAAAGCAGGGAGAAAGTGTAATGTGCTGGGGCATGATAAGATAGGAATGGAAGGGACCATTCCATGTATGGGAGATTGAAAGTAGTGAGGAAAAGGAGGAGGCAGTACGGGCCATTGCATTGCTAGAGGAGGGAAGGGAGGCAGAGGAAAAGAGGTTGAATGAGGAATGGAGGAGCTCGGAGGAGTGGGAGGACCTGAGAACTATGGAATTAGCAGCCTTTTCTGCCCAATGCTATGCGGAAAAGCACCAAAATGCACCTAAGGAACGGGTACCTCAAACCCATCGGGGCAAAAAATTTAAGCTAGCAAAATATAACAGGGGGGAAGGAAGGGGTATTGATTCTTGGCGCTATGTGAAGTGTGTTGCCCGACCACTTCTTTGGCCTACAAGTCGTGAGCGGTTGGAGTTCAATGCTTCCTTTGTGCTAATGGAGGACAATGCACCAGCACATGACTCCATTTTCACTAATGCTCAAAGGGAAGAAGAAGGGATTGAGAAGGTAGACTGGCCTGCAAATTCTCCCGATTTCAACCCCATTGAGCATATATGGGCCTTGATGAAAAGCCGTATTCAAACCCGCTGTAGTCATGAGAGAATCACTGCTCTACCACAAATGAGGCTTGTTCTTCAGGAGGAGTGGGAAAGGCTTACAATTGAGGAGATCAATAAAGAGGTAGCTAAACTTCCTAGTATCATAGCAAAATGTATTGGGGTCGAAGGAGGGAATAACTATCATGCTTAACGGAGTGGAGAGGCAAAATAACTGGAAAGAATAGGCCAATAGAAGAGAGAATTTAAGAGGCCGGAGCCTGACAACCAGTCTGATTACCGCCCATATTATAATTAGACTCTACAGACTACTAATTAATGGGCACTTCTGGCTTCTCAGTCAATGCCATTTTCATCATCGTAGGCGTGAGCAACATGATCCTCCTCTGCACCCCCGGCAAGAAAATCTTAAATGACCCATGTGTAAGTTGACTCTTGGCGTAACTTGGACCGTCACCTACATTCCGGAGACTTAAAAAAACGGCTAGTACCCTTCGTGCACACAACCGAAACGCCAGGGAACACACACATCCCCAGTTTGCTCTGGATGGTTGTCAACTTCCAGTACCGAATACCTGGACAGTACCGGTACAAAGGGATCACCGGTACGAGTAACGTACCGTATCATTACTACCCACCGGGCTCGAGGAGCGCCTCTGACTTTGTCTGGCCAACAGGATGTGCACGGGTATCCAGGTGAGGGGTGCCCATATCTCAAAGTTTCAGGTATCATACCGTATCAACGCGGTTGTTGGGGGGGGGGTTACGGGAACACAATGCAGCAGAGGTTTCGCTTTGCTGCACTTGTAGGTGCGAGTTGTCTCATCACATTACTTGTAGCATTATGATATTTCTATATTCTATCCTTCGCCACCACAAGCACATGCCTTTCCAAGTGCGCCTCATGGTTGCACAGACTTGGGGTTGCGGCAGTGCTTCTTGAGTCGATGTCGTAGACAGCTTGCACGAGCAGTCTTCTGTCCTAGTACCGAACAGGAGTACCATCTCCTACGAGCTCTGCAATATCCGCATTCTGAGACGGGGGCTCATTAACTGGTATTCGCAGTTCTCTTAACCTAACCAAAACCTATCGTGGGCCGACAGGGCTGATTTCGGCAGATAAACTGACAGTGGATTGAAGGGATTTTTACGCTATAAATTGGTCATTCTGGCGGCACTGTGCCCATCCCGCCTCCACCAGCAAGTTTTGGCAATGTTTTTGGCCTTGCACAGCGAGGCCCTCGAACACTGGGATGATCAAAAAATTTCTATTTGTGAGCCGCATGTGAATGTCTGAGTGTCCATACTCGAGTAGGGTATCGGTACCGCATTACGGTAACTCGCCTAGACTAGGTTTTTGGGTACCTTCATACCCGACACATACTGTACTAGTACATACCGGTACTCGTACAGGTACTCGTACAGTACAAGTACGGGGGTTGCGGCTCCGGCGTCCCCTGTTATTTTCCTTGCCCTCTGCGGGAGAAAGCTTTGTGCTTCTAGAACCACGGATGGTTGAACGGTCCCCACGGTATTCGCCATGGCCCTTTTCAGCGGCATTCTCGCGCGAGTGCCAGTTGCTGGAGTAGGGTACGGTACTAGTACAGTACTCGAGTCTTGTAGGGTGCCCTAACCACGCTCTGCGAGTAGAAGGAAGGAGCAATCTACACCACTGGAAACTGAAACTTCACATGCTTCAATGTAGTACTATGTAGTCTACTCGCACAGTACGAGTACAACTACAGTATTATAATACCGTACTCGAGTAACCATCCTCTGTGCTTCGACCACTCACCCAATCACTTGGCGGAAAGGGGTCCCCACCAAGTCTAGCCTACTCGAGTGGAAGTGGCTCTCGAGTGCACGGTACCGCCACAGCAAGTGCGAGCTAAAAAAGGCTTGTTTCCCCTTTTGTTGCTGCAGCGCCTCTCCGTGTGGTGCCACTATTAATAAACTAGGGACGGGGGTATCTAGCCTATCGCTGCCGGTATTGTCTGCTGGTCATGAAAAAAAAAAAAATGGTGTCGAATCTTTTATCAAAGAGCTTCATGATACCCGATTCCTCAGTGCTATCAAGGTGATATGGACGGCCACAATGCCGATGCCAATTGGGGCGTATAATATGTTCACTTTGTGACTTGCAGACTTCCATCACGTGGGAACGCCAGCCTACCTGTAGCGGTAATGCAGACAATTTCAGCCGCATGCCCTTGCTCTTGTTGGATCTTGGTGTGGAGAAGGGAGGCGACAAACATCTTGGATACAGTGCCGTAATTGCATCCACTCGTCCTCTAGAAGCACATTACCGGGGGAGGAATGTGATGACCGGGTCAAGGTGGTTGGCTGTCGGCGAATTTAGGTTCTCTCGCATCGATAATGTACGAGTACCGGTACTGTACCGTATTCCGCTCGATCAGCCCTTCCTCTCATTTTCAATCCCGGCCGTCAGTCAGAGGACCCGATGGGGCGACTGGAAGCTCAGGTATTGTGAAAGTTTTGGGTTGTGGTGGTGCCCGTAATCTTGGCGAATTTTTCTGCTGTTGTTGGGATACTGTAATCACATCTCAAGTGAAGTGATGGAGGCCTCCCCCCCGTCCTGCGATCACTCCCCATTTTCGAGTCATAAAGGTGATCTAATCGCTCCTCTCCCCCCTCGGCTACACAAGACACTGCTACAGGTTGCTACTGGCAAGTGCGCAAGAGTACAGTACTCGTACCGCTACCGTACTCGAGTACAGTACCCTCTGCGCCTTGAGATATCCCCCGCTAACGGTAGAAGTTCTATAGAAAATTGTACGAGTACCGCACTCTAGACTACGAGTGGGATTCAACGAGGGAAACCCTTCCCACCAACAATGTGCCGGCAACCCTTTACCGGTCCTGTGGTTGGTCCGCGGTTTCCCGTGGAAGCTTGTATTCGTAAAGTATTGGTACCGGTACTCGAGTAACATTCTCTATCTTTGAAATGCTTAGGCGCCCCCGATCCTGCCTCCAATCTATGGTGGCACAGAAATTTCAGTGGCTTGTCTTGGAAAAGCTACGATAATGCTTCTCGCCATTGGGTTGTGGTGGCTGCAAAGGAGCTTGTGGGGGAACGAATAGCGCCACTATCGCAGTCCGCTGCGGCACTTTGGGAAGGTCCTAACACCTGCACTTGTACTCGAGTATGATACTCGTACAGTACGAGTACAGTGCTACCCTAAAGCGTAAGGAACACATGACTTGACTTCCTGTCTGCCATCACTCCTATCATGCTCGCACCTCGCATGCAACTCGTAGTCTACCCATTTCTACCCATCTGTTTCTCTTACAGCGCGTGAAGGTAGAACGCTTTCCCGTCCCTTCGTGGGGGGATTGGAGATTTTCTCTGGGAATTTTTATTCCCATTTTTTACCGCTACTATTATTTGTAATATAAAATTAGATGATTTGACCATGATGTTTTGAATGCAATGTATAATAAGATCCTACCGAGTTACTGGTATTACAAGTACAGCTCGTTGTGGAGCAAAACACCCTACCGAACTTGTAGAAAAATTATTATGCTTGAATTGGCAGGATTGTGTAACTCCAGGGTGTGACAGGGGATGGCGGGCCCCCTGGTCCAGGTAAGATACCGTCCTCGAGTACAGTATTGTGAAATTTTTTTTTTTTTTTTTTTTTCCCCTTTTACTCGTACTTCCCTACAGTACCCGTACTAGCTAATGTGCTGGGGAAGGGGGGAACACTCTTGAGTCTTAAGCTACCGAGTCTGCTCTTTCGTCTTTCTTCTTTTCTTCCCCTCCTCATTCTCTTTCTCGACTTGTGGGGAATCAAATATTGGTTTTTGATGATACCTTTTCCGGCATCATATTATTATCATGGATTACTTCAAAGCCCCGAACCCCGGACAATCAGCCTACTTTAGTCCACTCGCCCCAAACGATCCCCACGAAGGCCGAGCACCGGGCTACTCACGCTACAGCCATGACTACCCTCACGACACTCCTACCCGGCCCTCGCCCGCTGGGCACCCGGAGTCCCACGAAATGATGTTTAGCCCGGGAGGCTATTCTCCCGACGGCCTGCAGACAAAGTACTCCTTTCTGCCGAGGGGACACCAGCAGATGCTCGGAAGGAACTACTCTGCTTCGAGTCAGAAGTGGAAGTTGCTCGCCAAGGTTACGGCGAGGTTTATTGTTAGCTTTGCAGCGTGTGCGGGCCTGATTGCGGCGTTTAAGGTTTACGAAGATAAGAAGGTGCTTTCGAGGATAGAGAAGAGAGTTTTCAACGCTATATATGTTGGCATCTCATTGATTTTGAGTATGAATATAATTGTCAGTTTTTCTTGGAGGGCGGGGGGGGCGGCGTTGTTGGGTCCTTTTTTATTTTTATTTTTCGGAACAGGTGGAGTGGGACTGACATGCGTGGGCTTTTTTATAGTCATCGTTTAAAGCTATGGCTAGCGTGATGAGGTGGAAGATCCTGGCTGCGGGAACGTTCAGGCTTAGAGAGGTTGGTTGATGGCATTCGGACTCTGATGCTATCATTGGCCTAGACACCTAACCTTGCGTATCAGGTCGACCTCGTTCTCGATCTCTCCAGCTTTCAAAGTGTCTGGGAGTTAATGCGGATTTCTGTCGGACGGCCAGCCCGAAGCCTTGCTTGCTTCGCTTGGATATTACTGGGAGTTGTAAGCACCGGAGCACACTCCCGCCCCTCTGACTGGCCTAGTTGCTTGGACTAATTTCATTACCATTAGGCGGTGCAAATTGGAGTCGCCTTGTTGGGTCTATCCTACAATATGGAGAACGATGGCGTCGTACAGTTGACCAATGGCCTTGTCAACATCACAGATATGAGGTCCATTTTCCCGGCCTTCCATATGGATACGAGCGTAGAGCCAGATTATGGTGTACAACAGTCTACGGCCCATTTATACGGAGATAGTAAGAATTTGCCCTGTCGTGAGGGGCGTTATTTCCGCAACTCTAACCGATGAGTGTGGTTTAGTGGCGACCTTTTTTCCATATGCAGTGCCTGGTTCGCCCGAGTACGAAGATTATACTCTCCTAGAGCTGCTGGGCGAGGAATCTACAGAATGGAGATACTATGTGAGAAACCAAACCCTCTTCACATCCCAAGTTTCTAGTCTTAGTACTAATTCGAGCCGTTTTTGAGGGACCATAGTTCCGAGAGACCTATTATACGGAAAAGCCGGGGGCAGCCGGTTTGCCAACAACCAAGACGAACCGCTCCGTGACGGTCACGCCGTATTGCGAATACTACCCGATTGTGGAGGGACAATTTGCCGGTGTGAACGATACGAACGTGACAATCTCTATTGGAAACAGAAATGTGACGATAGATTGGATGGAGGTTTGTTCTCCCAAGCCATGGAACAGCAAGCATGGGCTAATCTGTGAATTTGGATCGATTCAGGATTGGGGTACCGCTGCAACGTTGGTAGCATCTCTCTTGACTTCTGATAGCGAAAGCTGACGCCCCGTCCTTCCAGAACCTATGTAAACCCTGGCGGATTCGTCTCCGACACAGAGGGCTGCGGCCCACGATGCAGTCGTGTCTACATATTCCAATGGGTGGATGAGAAATGGGACCCTCCCTCCGAAACCGGCTCCTTCTTCAACTGCACCATCAACATCTCCCAGGTGGAGAATGCGAATCCCCTCCAACCCTTCCATAGCATGCCTGACCTGACCGCAGAGATGGCTGCTGGCGCCATCGGCCTCGAAGGATTTGTTGACGACTCTGAACGCCAGTTCGTTCGATACACGAGTGCTGCCTCATGGTGGGGACAGAGGATGAAGTCGACTGATATCGCAGCGGTGCTCGTGGGGAAGTTTGCCGTAGGGGTTATTGCCGCCTATGATTTTTACGGGCCGAAGATTGAAGCGATGGGTTTGCAGTCGAGACCTGGTATCAGTTTGTCTGTGAATTGGCTCTACGTGGTTTGTTCGCCTCGACCTGGAATGAATGAGGAGTTTTCTTAGGTTCTGACTAATTCTCCTGGGTGATGTAGAGCTTGACGTTGGGGTCTATTCTTTTTGCACAGTTCGTATGCGGGATATTTGTCGTTTACTCTGCCAATTCTGTGTTCTGCAAGGACGATTCTTACCTTTCTACTGCGAGGTTGCTTAGACGTATGCCTCTACCATAAAACCCCATATCATGCTATACTATACTAACATGCCTTAGCACTCGTTGAGCGACTTGGGAACTCCGGTTCCACCTCTACAGGTTTCGAAATTTCGCAGACCTTCACTCGGTCCGTACGCTACGGCGTTCGTTCAGACCTCTCAACTGGGCAGCCGATACATCACCTGGATGTTGGCGAGGATATAATGAGGGTGCCGAGGTTTCCGGAGGGACATTATAATTAGTTTTGGATTCTTGCTTTAGTTTCCTTCTTTCGTTGCTTGCTCAGTGCATTCATGCTGGATGGTGTTTTGGTTGGCTTTTATATCCCTTCTTTCGCATATATTAGGTGTTACAACTTTTCTCTTATCTCTCTTTCTGTCGGATATATGGTGAAAGATTACGGATGGATAATGAAAATGCCTGGGCACGAGTTGTGATTCTGGAGCTGGGGGCTAGATGTGCTGTGAGGAAGTGATTGGATTGTAAAATGTTATCAATCGCTCTCGAGAAACCGTTGTTCCTCCCAAATTCCGCTTTTCAAGCTTTTCCTATCACTGTGCTCAATACCGGATCCAGAATCTCGAGGCTAACCTGCAGTAGGGTTAGGGATTAAGAGAGGCAGTCTTGGCAAAAGTTTTTCCGCTACTCGATTTCAAACAAAACTAAACTCTCCACCTTTCTTTCCTCCACCGCTCCTCTTGGTGCCGCCTCAATTTATCGTCCATTCCCTTCGCCTCTGACGGTGATGCCGCTCCCTAATATCCTACACAGGCAGACGCCGGTGCTTGTTTCTCTTCGGCGATCAATTGGGTCCCATGTTCTAACGGCGAGGTCTGGCGGGAGGATGTTTGCCAATTCATTCTTTAAACGCAATTCTACCCCCTCCGATCCCCCACCTGCCCCTGATCTCCCGGGATCAGAACCGTTACCACTACTTTCAGATGTGACTAGTTCTTTCAGCGAGGCGCCGGAAGCCCCTCAAACGGACCCAGAGCAGGCTCCGACACCTTCGGAAGAGGGGGCGGGAGAGCGGGGGGATGTGAATGTGGGGCCTAGGTTGATAAGGGTTCCCATCACGCGCCGTCCCCGGGTTCGTATTTTCCGGCCAGTCCTTTCCCGCGGTGCGCCTGCCATCCGCAGAATGAATACCGGCAATAGGGATTTTGCGCCGGGAGAGCCGGAGCAACGGGTGAGAAATTTCACTGTTCGAAAGGTCACGACCGAAGGCGTTGCGAAGATAACGCGAGTCCACCGAATACCCGTTTCCATGTTTAAGCAAGGTGTGGATCCTACCTGTGCTAAGCTGGAGGGTCTGTTAGTGAGGATTGAGCATCCCCAAGGGTTTGGGGGTGTCAAGAAACTCATGGTGTACATTAGCCCAGAGTACGTGGTTAGGGAATGGGACTTTTGGAAGAACGAGCGCAAGCGGGCTATGAAACAGGAATCGCCGTTCACTAGAGATTTGGGTATTGGGGTGACCAGGTTGATGGCGAGAGCGATACATACCTATTGGCGAGCGCAGGAGGGCTTGGGGGGACAGCCTACTCCGGAATTGGAACTCGTGCAGGGCTTGGTGAGGAAGACCCAGCGGCGCTCGTATATGATGGATTCGGCACCCCTCAAGGACACGGTTGAGTCTTCGCGGTATTCCCGCAACGTTAAGCGGCTCATCGAATCGCCTGAGGATGAGGGTATCCTTTTCGAGACTTGGAGGGGCCGGGACCGCCTACTGTCCCGAATGGATGCTCTGACTGAAACCACCGACATGGGGCAGAAGGTGATCTTTCAAATAGAAAAGTATATGGATTATATCTCTGGTCGGGGGTTGGGCCATAATAGTGGGGGACCTGGACAGGTTGGGGGTTTTGCAAATACTATGTTGAGAAATGCTTTTCTTGCCTTGGACCGGAATTGCTTCAAGATGAAAACCTATCTAGATACGCCAATGGATCGGGATATTGTCGAGTACCCGGCACTCAGCGGGACATATCATCTGCCCCGGCTTCAAGTACTTCAAAAGATATGCCAGAGTCTTGGTTCATCCCTTGGTTTGGTGAATCTGGGTGTTAGGCACCTTATAAGGCAGAAACAGAGCCCAACTGATCTTGCACTGGAAGCATATGAAAAGCTACTGCGTAGGATTCGCCAAAACACAGAGTCGCTATCCAGCACACCAACCGAGGGAAATGGCCGAGGCACCATGATCCCGTTCTACGGCAAGGAAACGCGCACTACGTCGTACTGCACCAAAATGCAAGTGGTCGAGAAGATAATCCAACAGCAGCAGAGAGCAATCTTCCTGGTCCTTGAGTGTTTGCGAGTAAGCCCGCTCAGGCGGTCATTTATTTGGAGAGTCGGTTTGCGAACCGGGCCAACGCGCCCCTTTCTCGCATCTAGAGTTATCCACTTTGGCGGCGCACGGCAATATTCCACCATGACGCCTCGGCCATCCAGCAGCTCCACGCCTGATGCGCCTATGGGGCCACCTCGGGTTTCCAGGATAGAAGCTCGCCCTATCAGGGAAAGGTTTGGCAATGCAGAAGCACGCAGAAAGGCTGCACTGAGGGGGTTTATCTCTAATACTGTAATGAAAGATTTCTCAGTAGAGGTGGTTCCAAAGGTGGATTCAACAGATGATACTCTTGGACATAATTGGGAGGGCCTCGGGGATATGTCAGACCCCCTGGACGCGAGCGCGGCGAAGCCACTGGGGGTTGGTGATCTAAGCGAGGTGCGGTGAGTGTAATCGATTTCGAACCCTTCAAACCCCTCTCTCCCAGGCGTGCGATGGCTGACAGGATTCTAGGAGCGGGAATCAAGCGGAATTGGGACTTTATCTCAGGCCCACTCCCGGCGGCGAGCCAACCTCCGACTTTCTGATGTCAAGCGGGAACATTGCCCAACGCCAGCTCCCCCGAATTACCTTTTCCATCTCGGGCTTTGTTCCAAAGGCTGAGGTCGAGGGGTTTATATCGTACTACGATCAGATGATCAAGATGAGTGAGATCCACGGGTCCAAGGTTGATCCTAGTGATATCGCCGCCCCGAGAACTCGCACCGAGGGTATACTAGACCCCGTACGCCAATTTGGTGGAGTCGCAGCAAGGCTCTACGCCGAACACCGGCCTGCCTTTGACGGGCTTTATGCAAAATGGGCTGACGAGACCGAGGAGCGGAAGATTACGTTGTTCGAAGCGACCGAGATGGCCTTCGGAATAGGATGTAACCAGGATCCGAACTACAACGCGATGCTTTACGCTGTGCACACTGCTCTCATGGGCGATGGTTTGCACTTCATGGGGGATAGGGGCATGCACAGAGCCACGAACATCTTCAGGGTTCGGAGCAAGAAGGATATTAGAATGATCGACTCTGTGACAGAGTTGATCAGGAAAACTGCTGACAAGCAACAATCCACCGACAAGTCTGGACGAATGACTGCGGAGGATACCGGACGGAAAGTCATGGCAAAGTTCATTGAGAAGGCGAATTACCTGATTGACCTGAGCAGGGAGTATGAGAAAGAAGTTCTGGTCGGCAGGAAAAATGGTGCGCCGTTGGTTGAAACGGTAGAGATTGAAGAACTCAAATGGGAAGAGAACGACAAGTTTTTCATCGAGTATGTGAAGGCCAGGGTTCTCAAATACGGCCTGCAAAAGACCCCTATTGATGGACTCGCCCCAGTGATCTTGAGAGCTACGAATAAATATGGGGACGTTCTAGATGCGCTCACGGCGGACAAATTTTTGAGGGAGATTGGTGCCTGGAGTAAGTGGGAGAACACCAGTCTGCATCAATCTGGTTTGGATCTTCCGGGATTGGGTAGGTCCGAACTCGGAGACCAGGAAGAGGATAGGCTCCGGCTTTTGAATCAGGAAGGCGCAATTGAGAAGCTAGGGTTAACAGATGTCATGCACAACGTTCGGAAAGACTGGGGTGACATGCAAGTCTTCACCATCGATGACCCTGACGCCTACGAGATCGATGATGGCGTGTCCTTGGAGAGGGTATCTGATACTGAGAATTGGGTACACGTTCACATCGCAAACCCCACAGCCTTCATACCAGAAGACCACTGGATCGCTGAGATTGCAAAGCGGAGAGCCACAGCGCATTACCTCCCGGATAAATTCTACAGCATGCTTCCCGAAGGGATCACCGGTACATTCTTAGGCGTAGCGCCAAACAAACCAGTAATGTCCATAAGCACAAAGGTCAATGACAAAGGCGAGATCCTCGACCACAAGATCCAAGCGGGCTTCGTCCGGAACGTGCGAAGGACAACCTACGACGCGGTAGACCACGCCCTGGGCAGCTACCAAACTGTCAATTTCATAGCGGATCTAAGGATCGGCAAGTTCCCAAGTCGCCTAAGAGCCACGTCAAAGGCAGACAAGTTTACTCCCAAGCAGCTAAGCGATTTACAGAAGCTCCGGGACATAGCCCTTACCGTGCGCCGTCGCAGAGCTAGAGACGGATTAATCACACTTGCGTCTGCGAATCTTCAAGTTGAGGTGTACAACGGCCTCGGGTCACGAAACCACCCTTACAACTCTAGCTACCCCGTTCTCTACCGCGGCCATCCAGCGGTGCACCTAACAGTGGCCGACTCGGCGGCCGTCGAGCTTCGAGACTCCCAATTGATGGTGTCAGAGATGATGTCGCTAGCAAATAACGTCGCATCCATCTGGTCTCGCGAGCGTAGGCTCGCTATGCCATATCGCGTAATGGAGTACGACTACGGGCGCCCAGATGTCGTCAAAACCATCGAAGAAACCGTGCTGCCACGACGCACAGACCTTGGCTGCCCACCCTTCGATTCGACAATCCGCTGGTTAATGCTCCTGGGACAAACTCGCCTCCAAGCCAGTCCGGGACCGCACATGCTCATGGGCTTGCCGACAGGGTACGCGAAGGCCACCAGCCCACTGCGTCGGTATGCGGACATGCTCGCGCAATACCAGATTCAGTCCGTTCTGCTAAACCGGTCACCCAAGACGGCCGCGCAGCTGGAACCAATAATAGCCTCCGTCCAGCGGACGGAACAGACAGCGAAGCATATATCGAAGGAGGCCAACCGTCTCTGGTCCGCCGTTGCCATAAAGCGCGCTTGGGAGACAGGGTTGGAGAAGTACACATTCCCGGAGAAGCTCACTTTCCTTGTCATGGAGAAGCACTCCTCTCCCACACCATGCAATGGCATTGTCCGCGAGTTGGGACTCGCGGCCAAGATGTGCTTTGCAGATAGGCGCGATGAGGCCAAGGTCCAGGTTGGCAACGTTGTGAGCGTCAAGATTCACAATGTTAGTCTCTCTGAGCGCTATGTCTGGTTTGAGTTTACGGGGGTGGTGGGAGCCTCCGTGCTTGGAGTTTAGGAAAGGTTATATGTTATTCCACATGTCTTCGGCGTTTTTGTTATACGAAAAAGTTCCTTGCTTTTTTTTTTTTTTTTTTTGCTGGTTTGGTTTGGTAAGATTGACTGATTTACACGTATAAAGATGGATGGATATCAAGAGTTGTGGAGAAAGGTGGGAGGTGTAGTGGTTTCTCCAAAAAGTACAGTAAATAGAGTGCTAATCGATCGATTGTATTGTATTATATTGTGGTTCAATATGTTTCTTCCTTACTTCTCTATGTCCTTGTCTCACCCTACATACTGTACTATACTACTGTACATATTAGATGGCTCAACAAAATCAAATCTCCACTTATCCCAGTATGATGGTCATATTGGAGAGGTATCACGGAACATCACTCGAAGAAGCCCCGCAAGACAATTCCTCCAGACCCCCCCGGCAAAAATCCTAAGCACTTTGCGTGGATACCACTTACCACTACAACGAAGAGATATCCATCCATTTCTTCGTTCTGTCTCATCGGCCAGCCAACCAACCGCATAAGATCCCCCGGCTAACTCATCCTGTACCATACCATAACCTTCCCACCCATGCTAGCTAGTATAATACAGTACTCGAGTGATTCAGAATGACCAAGAATCAATAGACGATACACGCATGTGCTAGTGCGTATAATCTAACAGCGAGTACCCCCCGCGAGGGCGATAACGGGTGAAAGGGTGGGCATCAAAGAATACGAGTTTGACACCTAATTTACTAATGGAACATCTAGAGGTTCAGCGTCTGCGGGACGGGAAGGGATATGAGAAAGGTGGAAAGGGAAAGATGGGTTTTGCTGGTTTGGGAATACGACGGGTGTGGAGATGGTCTACGGGGTGTTGTTGTGCGAGGAGGGGAGGAGAGGGGGTTTTGAGTGTCGAAGATTCTGGGTGGTGGGCGAGTGGAGTTTATTGTGGAAATCTCTGGGGGTGGTCTGGTGGATTGTTTGGGGGTTGGTATGAATGGATTGGTTTGGAGCTTTTGGAGAATTACGGTGAGGATTTTCCGGGTATGACTTTCTTTTGTTATGACGGGAGTGCGCGGAGGAATGGAGGGCGGCATGCGTAGAGGGAGATATAGAGATTGGCTGTGGTGATCTATGGAGGGATCAGGATGCATTGATCATGTTTTTATTTATATATGTATTTGACTTCACTGTTGGTTTGGAGAGTGGGAGCGGGAACGGGGAGAGCGGACTTGTTTATCATGCTATATCATATTCATTCACATGCCGCCACCTAAATTCCGAGCAGATTCTCTTGTTCTATCGTCCTCTTATGTGCGACTGACCGGTCTTCCGCCTTTATCCACCATCAACATTTTGGGGTTTCAAGCATTTCGATGGGGCTGTGTTGGGGACTGGATTCAGAGGGGGGGGATGGAGGTGATGCTAGGGGGTCTCTGGGGAGGTGGGATTTCTTGATGGATTTGTTTTACTGCAAGATTGGTTCGGCGAGGCCAGTTAGATGCGAGGTGGGTGGTTAGTAGGTTAACGTATATGCGGAATCTGTCTGAAAAGATATAGAAGGAAGTTACGGACAAATCTGAAAATGTGTAATCAAGCATCAGACCCATCGGTTCATTGCTGAATCGTCTCCGCAATCCTGCCCTGTCTGCCCGCAACAGCCCGAGAACGCGGTGGTTGGATCGACATCCGCTCTACCTGATAACATTCTCGCAAAATCCTCACGCCCAGCCACCGTAGTAGGGGAAAGTGATGAGCGTCCATCATGGTCTTTAGGATTTGGGTTCGCGACTGGATATCCCGGCGGTGGCTTTGCTGCCTCGACGCACCCACACCGCACAAGCTTAGTCGTGTTGAAGGTTCAAGATGGGTGTTAGATGATTGGAGTTGATTATGAAAGTTTCGGGGGTCTGACATAAAGTTTGGTAGTGTAGTAGATCATTATGGAAGAGGTTCTCAAGACATGTCGTTCCTTCGTTATGACGGGTGTGTGCGGAGGAATGAGGACATACGTGGGGACACAGAGAGTTGTCATGATCTGTGGAAGGATCAGAACGTGTTTCATTTATGGATCTGTCTTTACTATTAGTTTAGTTGAGTAGATAAATGGATGAAGGGAACGGAGTTGTTTACCATACCTCTAATCCTTATTTTCCCTACCCAAGTTCTAAGCAAATCTTCATACTATGCCGTCTGCCACTGCGCTGTCTATCTTCCACCGTCATCTGCCGTCAATGGGCCAGCGGTGTGGGGCCTTCAGAATCCGCGCGATTAAGCTCGATTTCGTCCCTTCCCAGAAGCCGAATTGATACCTAATCGTTTTCCCAGCCTGCCCACGCGATGTAAGGGGATTTGGCCACAATTATTAGCATAGTAAGGGTCAGCATCGCTGTCACAGTCTGTTAATAACTCCGCAAGCTCAGGATTGCGGGGAGTCGGAGCCGCCGGGAAGGGGTTGTCCGATCTGTGTCTGGAAGAATCTGGTCGATGCCGCCTGCTCCGGTAACCTTTTCGTAAACCATTCCCGCCTACGGGAAGTAGCGGAGGTGGGCGGCGGGTAGGTAATCTCGTTATCCTCGATTGACGATACCAGTATAGTAACAGTCTTACCATTCGTAGTTGCTCGTGATCACGTGTTCTAGCGGTGTACGTCCGGCAACGCTGGGGGGGGGTAGTCGGCATGATGTCTCCTATCTCAAGTAGTAATTTCACAGCGTCCGCCTGAGCAGTTCAGTAGAGTGGCGTCTGTCGGAGAATTAGGTCGGTCGAGCTGGGGCAGACGTCCACATGGTGCAACAAGGGTTTCACGATGACTTCCCGACCCAGTTCAGTGGCGCGCGAGAGTGGACACCGGCCCCCGAATGTCGCGTAGATTACCTTCCATACCCTCATCCTGTGATGGAGGTCGTGGCCATCCTTAACCGCCTAGGATAGGGTGCGCAGATCCAGGCTGCCGCTGAGGTCGACATCGGTCCCGTGTTTTGGCAATAATATTTTGGCAATTTCTTCGCAGCCGGCCCCACGAGAGTGCTCCATGACTGTATCGTCTGTGGGGTGAAGGCCGTTACCGCGTTAGTTCGACGAGTAGATTCGCCGCGCGCGCAACCGTAGAGTAATGCCCGAATCAGTGGTACTCGGCTGAATGTGTCAATCACACCAGAGTGAACGTCCCTCCGGACTTGGAGCGCCTGCATGGTATCTTCGTTCCTCGTCTTTGCTGCCCGGGCGAGCGGCATTAGGGGATTCTTTTCCACGAGGTTTGCATCGCGAAACTTTGGGGTGGCGGGTGAGGTCGGCAGCATTGTGGGCTCTTCTCTTTCGCTACCGGTATTCGTGACTCTGGGCGATAATACTGGTATGGTGGGCACAAGAGGCTGTGGACCGCCATTGCGTGTTGGGATCGGAGGGATCGGATCGCTGGAATAAGGGTAATAGCTCACGTTCAAGAGCCGGGCTATACTCTAGTTACGGTAGGAGGTTAGGGTGTGTTACTTCAGGAACTTCAGGAGAGGGAGAGAAGAGATTCACACAGTTTAGTACTTTGTTCCTGTCACTTTGTGCTTGAAATTAGTTTGGGACAGAGGAGGCTTAAAATTGCGATGAACCTTGCGCTCGGGGTGTACGAGTACTTGAGCTAAATTTGTCAGCAGGATGCAAGCATAAGCCAGCAGTGCTTCCAGCCGTCCAGTCAGACGGCAGTCGAATGCTACGGCGGGTCAAGTAGACATCGAGTGCAAAAAAAAAAAAAAAAGAAAAGAGCCTAACCGAGGATGAGGAGCAGCAAGTAAATGCTTGCTTACCTAAGCAGGAAAGCAGGAGGAGCCTCAGTCCCCGTTGCTAATCATAGCTCGGTCACATCCTCACTCATCACCAAACATCTGCCAACTTACAACCATTTCTTAACGAGCCATAATCTTATAGAATAACAGAGAAGACCCGAGATTATGTTATGTGATCCTTGTTGATCTGCTATAGGATTATCTATATTTATTGTACCCATTATTTTTCCTCCCCCTTTTTGCTCCATTACTTTTTCAAGATTTAGTTGACCATCAGAAGGTAATGCATTACAACGTATTCCGAAATATTAGGGTTATACCTTAAAGAAATAACAAAGCCTTCATTTAATGGAAGCTAGTACCTGCAACTAACTGGTCTTATAATATCTGCTAATAGTTTTTTGTTCATTTAGGCCATACCAGAATTAAATCAAGTCCTCAAGTACTCAATTTCTATTAAGGTTACATTAATAGGTATTTAATTCTAAATGCTATTTAGAGTGTTTTTCTAATCATTTAATTTAAGTACTAGGAATTATCCTCAAGTAGAAACTTTAGTGAAGGTATTAGTAAGACCTTGTTGAGTATTTAGGTAGTTTTTTTTTTTGCCAAGACTTTGGCAAGTAGATGTAGAGTCAGTTTCTAATAAGCCTTTAGCAAGTTTCTGTTGAGCCTTTCATAAGCTTTTACTTGACCTTTAATAAGTTTCTGCTAAGCCTTTGGTAAGTCTTCGCCAAGGCTTAAGTAAGAACTTGTTGTGTATTTGACAAGTTTTTTTTTACTGAACCTATAGTGTTAGGCAGAGAGGATGTATATAGACTCAAAATAATCTAGGCCAATGGAGATTTATTTCTGAAGACAGAAATTTATCTGAGAAGACTTAAAGGGTTACTGGTTTCATTTATAACTACTAAAAGTAAGATAAGGTAAAATAGAATAGAATTGTAGAAACAATATTCTATTATTAAGGTCTTGTCTCTATTGCTTGATGATGTCTAAAAGCTTAGGAGGCACTGCAATCATTATATTCTACATGTAACTGGTACGGGTACTTGGTTATTGGTTTTGTTTTATGTTTTGTTTTATGTAACCAGTACAGGTACATGGTTATTAGTTTTGTTTTATGTTTTGTGTTAAGTATCACTTTGATACTTGGTTTGTTTTAAGTATCGCTTTGATAGTTGGTTTGTTTTAAGTATCTTTTGATACTTGATTTTGTTTTATGTTTTGTTTTAAGTATCGTTTGATACTTGGTTTTGTTTTATGTATTTTTTTAAGTATCACTTGATACTTAATTAGTTTTACCAAAGTGTATCAATTAATACCTTTGATTAGTTTCGTTTATGCTAGACATGAACAGATTTGTGTATTTAAAGACCACCTGATTCCACGATGGAAAAGATAGAATTCGACAGACAGTATTTCAATATACTTGATTGAACAGTTACTTCTTTGTTCCTTAGTACACCTTCGAAATCTCATTTAGTTTTCAGCTCTCGCTTCCTCTTTGGTAGAGCAGGCCACCTGCCAACTATGATATCTTTACCGATAACGTGACTAGCACCTTGCGAACACATTATATTTTTTTAACCTTAGAAAGTGGTTAAGAACCTGTCTCTAGATTTAGGCCTGATTAACCTATCGATATCCACCTCAGAACGCTAGTGAAGAGAAGCGGCAGAATCACAGCACATTTAGCTTCGTCTCAAAACCAACATAGAGTCATTGACGACCAGGAGTGGGAAGCAAATCCCACAGCAAGACCTTACAAGAAAGAAACAACTCTGGTGGAACCTGCAAACACGGAAGACACACAACTCCCAGGAGAATTCCCTCCTAAACCAGCAAAAAGGCTTTTTTTTGAACCTCTGATTGATCCTAAATTCAGTAGCAAATCTAATATGGCTAGTACAGGAGGAGGGCCTTCAGGAGGAGGAAAATCTCGGGCTCAGCCTGAAGAAGAGGAAGTACCTGCAGCATTTGAACCCACTAAGTTCAAACTTCACCTCTCAGCGAAGTTTACAGGAGAAGGTAAAGACCTCAAACCTGAAGCTTTTGATCGATGGGTGACTAAACTCACACAGTACCTTCTCCTATAAGGGAAAGATGTGGAAGATCCTACAACCGGACTTTTGATTGGATCATTCTGCGAAGGAAAGGTAACCGACGCATACCACTAATACTATAAGGAATACAGCAGAAATGTAAGATTAAGAGGATCCACTGTTCTCGATTATCTGAAAGGCCTATTCCAATCCTCTATCATCAACGACCTCCTATACAACAAATTCAATCAACTCCACCAAGTGAATGGAATACATGTTATGTAACTGGTACAGGTACTCGGTTATTGGTTTTGTTTTATGTTTTATTTTAAGTATCGCTTTGATACTTGGTTTGTTTTAAGTATCGTTTGATACTTGGTTACGTTTTATGTTTTGTTTTAAGTATCGCTTTGATACTTAGTTTATTTTAAGTATCGTTTGATACTTGGTTTTGTTTTATGTTTTGTTTTAAGTATTGCTTTGATACTGGGTTTGTTTTAAGAATCGTTTGATACTTGGTTTTGTTTTATGTTTTGTTTTAAGTATCGCTTTGATACTTGGTTTGTTTTAAGTATCGTTTGATACTTGGTTTTGTTTTATGTTTTGTTTTAAGTATCGCTTTGATACTTGGTTTGTTTTAAGTATCGTTTGATACTTGATTTTGTTTTATGTTTTGTTTTAAGTATCGCTTTGATACTTGGTTTGTTTTAAGTATCGTTTGATACTTGGTTTTGTTTTATGTTTTGTTTTAAGTATCGCTTTGATACTTAATTAGTTTCACCAAAGTGTATCGATTGATACCTTTGATTAGTTTCGTTCATGCTAGACATGAACAGATTTGTGTATTTAAAGACCGCCTGTTTCTATGATAGAAAAGGCAGACTTCAACAGACAGTATTTCAATATACTTGGTTGAACGGTTACTCCTTTGTTCCTCAGTACACTCTCGAAGCCTCCTTTAGTTCTCAGCTCTCGCCTCCTCTCTGGAAGAGTAGGCCACCTGCCAACTATCGTATTCATTACCGATAATGTGATTAGCATCTAGCGAATACATTACATGTTAAGAGAATCACAGATATAGCTACTGATCTGATGATGTATAAGGACTGAATGAAAAAAGAAAGTATTTCCAACTACATCCTTAAGTGATGATTCTATGATGTCATGCATCCTACTCTCCAGCGAGAGGTAGAACCACTTGAGGAAGATAATGATGATATCGCCATAATAATTGCAAGGGCAGAATGAAAGGACACCATCCTCCATGAAACTAAGGCATACAAGACACAGACATCCTCTAGCAGTCATAGGCAACTACGACATATGCCCTCCAATAACTCTGAAGAAGATACCCCACGGGCTTTCAAGAAGAAAACAAAATCCTCCAAAGAATCAAGACGACAGAAGGGAGAATGCTTTGAATGTGGGAAGACAGGACACATGGCAAAGAACTACTCTACGAAAAAAGGAAAAGGAAAGGCGATTAAACAAGAGGCATCAGCCCACAATATTGAGAGCTGTAGTGATGATGCCCAATCTAGTGAATATGAGGAGATCTATATTGGAAATATCGATGTGGAATGCAACAGTGTCCGGCCTCCTGCTACATTTAAAGCACATGCCGTCCTAGAAGGTACTATTGTGATCAATAGCAAGAAAGCACGAGTCTTATTTGACACAGGCACAATTGGAAGAGACATGATTAGTAATACATTTGTCTCTGTCTATAGACTCTCAACTTGAGACCTTAACCAGCCCATACTAGTCAATATGACAGTTAAGAAATCATGATCCACAAGTCATAAAACTTGTAGCGCAACTTTCTGACTTGCTTCTGCCATTCTACTCACCCAGGAGATGCTAGTTGGAAATCTAGCCAAATATGATGCCCTCATAAGGATGCTATTCCTAAACCTCTACAAAGCTATAATCAGATGTAGGGAATCAACCATTGATTTCCCAGATCAGAAGATCAGAATCTCATGTAAACCAACAAGCGGAGAGTACTGAGCTGCAGTCTGTGAAGCAACTGCCCAATGCCTACCGAATGAATACTCAGATGTTTTCCATAATCAGATCTCTGAAGAAGTACCGCCTTTAAAGAAAGTGAGCCAACACATCCACCTTCGAGACCGCTCTAATCTTAAGAATGAACCTACCTACACCATCCCTGACACATACAAAAACCCACTATGTGACTGGATAAACCAACAACAAAGAAGAGGAGTCATCTACCAAGCAGAAGCACCAGGTGTTGCACCTATGTTTGTCCAACCCAAAGCAGACGGCAAAAGAATTCGCCCCCTGGTTGACCTCAAACTACGGAATGAAAACACAGTTATGGACAGTTCTGCTATCCTAAATCAAACTCAAATCCTCAATTCAGTTGGACAGGCTAGATTTCGAAGCAAGATTGACCTAAGCGATGCCTACTTCCCGATGAGGTTAGATCCAGAAAGCAAATGCTATAACAGTTTCAAAACACCCTTCGGAAGTTTCATTAGCCGAGTTATGTTACAAGGTGATATGAATGTGCCTACCATCTTTATGCGAATTATGGAACACCTCCTAAGCGAATACCTGCACCATTTTGTATGAGTTTACATTGACGATATCCTCATCTTCTCAAACTCCAAAACAGAACATGCCTACCATATAGGTTTAGTTTGCACCAGACTAAGGG